TGCTTCTAGTTTTGTTCGGCATGCGGACCTAGAGCTAGAATCGTTAGGCTTTTTGCTGTCGGTATCCACTCCGTCAGGATCTGTGTTGGTCACTAGTCAAGTGATGAAAGGAGGCCAGCTCTCTTTCGATAGTCAGACCGTGGAGGTGAAGTTAATTCAACTGGATATGCAAGATTTCGATGTGATACTAGGCATGGATTGGTTAGCTGCCAACCGGGCTAACATTGATTGCTCGAAGAAGGAAGTTAGCTTTCGCTTGCCCTCCGGACAAAACTTTACCTTTAAAGGAGTCAAGGCCGGGGTCCCGAGGGTGGTGTCGGCATTGAAGGCCAGCCATCTGCTCCAGCGTGGTGTCTGGGCCTATTTGGCTAGCATTGTGGATACAAGGAAGGTTGTGCGGACCACGTGTGGTCAATGAGTTCTCTGACGTGTTCCCTGAGGACCTCCCCGGCTTGCCTCCGTCCCGCGAAGTGGACTTTTGTATAGAGTTGCTACCAGGGACGGCTCCCATCTCGAAAGCACCCTATCGAATCGCTCCGGCAGAGTTGAAAAAGCTGAAGCTACAGTTGGAAGAACTACTCGACAAGGGTTTCATCCGCCCAAGCGTATCCCCTTGGGGTGCGCCCGTGCTCTTTGTTAAGAAAAAGGACGGCTCTATGCGACTTTGTATAGATTACAGGGAACTAAACAAAGTTACGGTTAAGAATAAGTATCCCCTACCACGCACTGATGACCTTTTTTATCAGCTTCAGGGGGCGAAGGTGTTCTCAAAGATAAACTTGCGTTCGGGGTACCACCAGTTAAGGTTAAAGGAGGTCGACATCTCGAAGACGACGTTCAGAACAAGGTATGGGCACTATGAGTTTGTCGTGATGTCTTTTGGACTCACAAATGCTCCGGCAGCCTTTATGGATCTAATGAATCGGGTCTTTAAGGAGTATTTAGATTCTTTTGTCATCGTGTTCATCGACGACATCCTGATATACTCCAAGACTGAGCAGTGCCACGAAGAACATCTCAGGCAGGTTTTGACTACACTACGAGGAAATAAGTTGTATGCAAAGTTTTCAAAGTGTGAGTTCTGGCTGGACCAAGTGGCTTTCCTAGGACACATAGTCACCAGAGAAGGTATTGCAGTAGACCCCGCCAAGGTAGAAGCTGTTAGCCATTGGCCAAGACCTAGTTCAGTTACAGAGATTCGTAGTTTCCTCGGCTTGGCTGGTTATTACAGAAAGTTCATCCAGAATTTCTCTCGGGTAGCGGCACGGTTGACGCAGTTGACTCGTAAGAATGCTACCTTCACTTGGAGCAGCGAGTGTGAGGAGGCTTTCCAAGAACTGAAGAAGCGTTTGGTGTCTGCACCGGTATTAACTGTCCCCGATGGGACGGGAGGTTTGGTGGTTTACGGCGACGCCTCGCGAAGGGGCTTGGGATGTGTGCTGATGCAACATGGGAAAGTTATAGCTTATGCTTCTCGACAACTGAAGGCGCATGAGCTTAACTATCTCACTCATGATTTAGAATTAGCAGCAGTGGTCTTCGCCTTAAAGTTGTGGAGGCACTACCTTTACGGAGAGAGAATTCAGGTCTTCACGGATCATCAGAGTTTGAAGTACCTTTTCACTCAGAAGGAGCTTAATTTGAGACAGGGGCGGTGGTTAGAGTTAGTGAAGGACTATGACTGTGAGATCAGTTACCATTCGGGTCAAGCAAAAGTGGTGGCTGATGCTCTTAGTAGAAGGGCGGCAAGTGTGGCATCTCTGGTTGCGATCTGCAGTCCAATGCACAGCGAGTTGGAAAGCTTGGAGGTAGAGCTGACGGTGGATGATGTCTCCGCACGGTTGGCTCGACTCTCGTTGGAACCCAGTCTGAGGCAGCGGATCATTGTTGCCCAAAAGGAAGACCCTAGCTTGGCCAAAGGCTTTAGTATGGTGGGCCATGGGGATTTCACT